TGGATGTTGGACAGGTTCTGAATTCATAAACAGATTACCAATCAAGGCTAGAGATCTCAGTTAACCTTACTATTTAATTCATAGCTGGGGAGAGAAGAAATGGATTCATACTTTTCCCAAGTATAGTTGTGCAAGTCAACCCAATTTCCACATGGATAACTGCTACACTAAACACACACCCATAAGGAAGAACAGATGAACTAAAATGTAGTGATTTATACAGATGTGGGTACTTAATAATCTACATAGGAACCCATCTCTATCCCCTCCAGCTATGGGTTAATTAATAGGCCTCGTATCTGGAAAAATCATTATTATTCTCAAAAAAAAAAAAATTGTTAATGTAATATTCATTTGCAAAAAACTAAAACAAAAAAAGAATTATTCTTATAATCCAAATTGTGTTTCTGCTTTAAATAACCTGCAAAGGAGTGATAAACAGTAAAAAATAAATGCATCAATATCTACTTGTAAAAGTAAATGAAAATATTTCTCTGATCTGTCTTTGTACATTGTCACATTGTATAATGGTTTGAGAGCTGCATTTGTGTTTTAAAAAAAAAAACTTTTTTTTTTTTTTGCTTCATTCACTTTTTCAATTTTTCCACAAAAAGTGGATCTCCTAACATTATGATGAAATCATGATCATTTCATATATGAATGATGCATTAGGCTTGAATCAAACATGTTATTTAACATCATTCAATAAAAGTTTAATCTTGTGTTCATCAAACTGTACAATCTCCTCTTGCACACTTGATTAACCTTTTTATACCATTTTCACAAGTTTTCTCTTCAAGATACAATATAAGATTTTTTTCAGTAAAGGTTTTCTTCTTTCAACTATCCCTCTACCCAAATTGGGTTTTATTATAAATGCTGGGGAGGAGCTCATTTTCAACCATTTCACACAAATGTTTGTTTATAAATTTATTTTTCATTTTCTTATGCTACAAGTTTTTCTATTGAGTAAGTTAAATTTGGCATGTCATCCTTTATCAATTATTTAGAAAATGATAAAGTAATATAAAATAATATTAAATTCAAGGCTTTTCTCAATAATCCAAAGATTATTGATTGAGGTATATTTTTATCATTTTTATAGAAAATAATCTAATGTATATGATGTGAATAAATATGGAAATATTAACAAATGAAACTTAATCTTTGGAAAAAGTTTTTTTTTTTTTTTTTATACTATTCATATAACAAGGAACTAAAGTAAAAAATTTAGAAAAATGGGCAGAATGAATTTTTTTGATTATGAATGAAAGAGAAAGGTTGTCTTTAGTAGAGATTATGAGGATAAATAATGACAAAATCCTAAAAAAAAAAAATTAGTTATTATAAAAAAAAAAGTTTTTTTTCAAATGACACCACTTTTATTTTAACTACCTTCATTCCCTTGGCAATGTTTATTGTTTTAAAAAGCAATGATTAGAATTTGAATAAAACCTAAACACATGATTAAAGTGAATTTATAGATTTTTGTTTTGTTCTTGAGAATTTACAACAAAAATATTAAACCCTATTTATTTATTAGATTGTTTATTTACAAGAATAATTTTATATTTACAACATTCTAAAAACTAATACAATTAAAACTAATTCAATGCAATATTTATCATTTACTAATTTATAAAGAAATAAATATGAAAAAAATTATTCATAAACATTTACTAAATTATTAAAATACATGAACCAACTATAAGGAAATCATTATTTACCATTTATAAAGTTTGAATCAATTAGCTGATGTTTTGCTAACCTTTCCAATAAACAATATCATTGTGTAATAGAGATATATTCAACGGAGATATATGTAGTTAACAGAAATACACACACAAACACACAATTAGACACACATATACAGGTACACAAATATACACATGTGGGTGAGTGTGTACATGCATGTTTGTACATATGTATGTATGTATGTATACACATACATAGGTACACACACCTGCACAAACATATACACACACAAAAAGCCAATCATAACACAATAGCAATAAACAATAGAAGTCAATGGAGAAAGTGAGGAAAGAATAAAATAATAAAAAGAAAAGAAAGGAAGATGAATGAAATCAACAATCAATCAACATGCATCAAGGGAAAAGGAAAGTAATGCACTCATACTACAATAAAAATATGACAAAATTGAGAAATATTAACAGTTTGACTCTGTTCTGAAGAGTGGTTGCATCTCTGTTACCATGAAACTTTGAAGTAAACAAAAGTAAAAAACTATTTCATTAATTCTATTAACGTTTTATCCATATCATCAATATTGAGCACACTAGCACAAAGCCTGCTTGTCTTAAATGCCTTTATCAGCAAACTACTGAAAAACCAGCAATTTTGGCTTCCAAATTAGCACTATATATATATATATATATATATATTTGTAGGATGTATAATAGTATCCAAAACAAAAGTGAAGATGGTGAAACAAAGTGGACAATTTTTATGATGATGCCAATAAAAACATAAGCTTTCTCCAGTAAAACATGTCTTTGATAAAAATTTTCCACTTTGTCTCATCTTCATATTTATTTATCCAAACAAGTTTGATTAAAAAGAAACAACAAGATCTGTCTGTTTTAAGTTTTTATTGTATTTTTTTTCAGTTTTCAAATAAAGTGTTGGGCATTGTGATTCAATTTATGGACAAACTGTCCAAACTTCATGTGTTGTTTCGTTGAAGTACTTTTTGACCGTCTCAGACATTTTCAAGAACCAATTTGGTGTCTGTGGTAGACATAATTCATTTGTCTACTGCCTTGTATTCTTTGGAAAGCTGAAAATTTGATATTTATCTACAGTAATTCTGCCATTAAATGTGATGATAGGACTAGAAGAATACCAGGAAAGTGCCAACCAAAACATTACTGATGCACTCCATGTTTCACTGTTAGGACTATGCAATCTGGATCATAGGTTTCATGCAATGTTCTCCATACATAAACACCAGTTTGTAGGAAATAACGTGAAAGAAGACTCATCAGACCATATAACATTTTTCCATTCCTTGAGTGTCCAAACTTTGTGATCAGAGGTTTAGGGTTTGTAGTGCTTCTGTGGATACCAGCTTTGTGGAGCTTCCAATATACTGTGTGTGTAGAAACTGTATTGGTTAGTTTCATAATGAGTTCTGATTCGTTTTAAAGCTTGTCAGTCTCTTACGGTCAACTTTGGTTTCCATCCACTATTACTCTTTGCTGATGATGTTTTGCCTTGTTTTGTGTAAGCTGTCATAACCGTGGAACACTACAGCTCATGACATATTCAATAATTCAGACGTTTTAGTTACAGATGCTCTTGCTAATTGACCAACTATTTGTACTCTTTGAAAATCTGACAGGGCAAACATTTTTTATGTAAAATTTTACCTGAAGATAAATAATTACTTAATTAAGTGGAAAAGCAAAAAAGGATTAAAGTGCTGAGCAGTTACTATTTTATGTTGGTTTGATGTTTTGTTAACCCAGAAATGCCATAATTGAAAAAAATTACAATATTCAGATAAGTTTTACATTATTTGTTCAAACTTTTTTATATATATATACACACACACACACACATATATATATATATATATATATATATATATATATATATATATATGAAATTTTTTAACTTCACAGTCAAATTCTAAAATTTTAAATATTTTAAGCATTCTAATATTTTAATTTTATTAAATTTTTAGGTATTTTGGATTTATAGTCTTATTCAAGAATCCACTTGTTAGAAAATTACCAACAAATTAAAAATTTTCTATAGCTACCATTCTTATTTTCTGATAATGTTGTGTATGGACATCCATATTTACAAAAATTGACATGTTTATATACACAAAAAATACAAAATTGTTTTTAAAATACTGGGGTTCACTGAATTGTAGTCAGCATTTCCATTTATGATTAGTAAATATAGTTTTTATTTAATAACAATATCACTTGACCACTACAAATTGATATAGAATTTGAAAAAGTTTAAAACTTTACAAATTATTCAAATTAAAATTTTAAGAAATGAAACAAATCTTGTAAAAGTTCATTATTCATCAAAAAAAATATTTTCTTAAGACAATAGTGTCCATAATATATCTTATTCATAAAAGCAATTACAAGCTTTTCTAATTAAATAATGTCTTAGTTTTATTGCATTGTTTTAACTTTACATTTCAGAGTAGATTATATTTATATATATTAAAATAATATTGTTAGCTATTAATATTAGCAAATAATATTCATAACATTATATAATTTAACAAAATTTCTAATGTACTCAATATTAGACTAGTATTGTCTAGAGTCCTGATGAGTGATTGAATAATTAAAACTCTTGAGTTAGCCTACAATGAATACTGAATGTTATTATATCTAATTTAATATATATATATATATATATATATATATAATTTTTTGCTCAATATTGGAAAGAGCATTTGTAGATATTACTTCTTCTTAACCTCATCACAATTGACACACACAACTTGCTTTATATAGAACTGCTCAGGAGTAGTGGCACTTGTTCTGAAGATCACATTGAAGCATGAAACTGGTTACAATGCAGTGTTGATTCATATGTCCACACTGTCAATGCATATCTATATATTAGGAGGTGCTAAAAATCTTTTGGTCTGACCAGTGACTGCATATCAGAATTCTTTTTAGTAACTGTTAAAGAAACTTGGGAAATGATGTGTTGAGCATATTGAACTGTGGGATGAATCTAGAGATGTATGTTCCACGGTTAGGCCTTTTTTCTTGGCCAGGCTAAGCCAAGAATTTCTTCTCAGCATCATGTCATAATTAAAAATATCCCTATTTGATCACGTTAATAAATGCATTTGGTGATACAAATCATAGATAGGCAAGTATAAAATCTCTTTTCTAGGATGATGAGGATCATAGGTAAAAGATCTAATGTATGCTTCTGTTGCTGAACAGATAAGACACCAGTTTTTTAAGCTGGAGATTATAAAATTGAAAGGCTTATGGCCATATCATGTTGAAACCCCAGTTCTCATACAATCACCGAAATTAAACAATATTGAGCTTCTTTAGTACCTAGATGGGTGACAGCTTGTGAATACCAAGTACTATAAGGTTGGATGCATTGGTGATGTAATGGATGAGAAATTGGAAATTCCAATTCCAGTTGGGTTCATTATTCTCTTATGCGCAAATACCCTTGGGAAAGGCATGAATCCACCCTCTTATCCTCTCATCTATGGATCAATTAGTAGTCAAATCATTATTATCTCAAAAAATTTCTTACAAATCTAAAAATATTTTCTGGCTTTAAATAACCTGCAAAAGGTTGATAAGCCATAAAAAGAAAACAAATCAATCAATATAGAATTGAACTTCATCAGAGATGCTGATGAGTTTTTTACATTTTAATCTGAAGACATTATGTAACTAAAATATAAATAACAATAATTACTGCTCTGGATTAAATTGAAACAAATGTAATTGAAAATCTCTGTCTCAAATGAAACTGAAAATGGCTGCTGTAATGACTGAATTTACCTCAGACAGACATAGAGGCAGAAATGGACATAATAATGAATTTAAAATTTCACCAAACACCAGTTGACTCACATAAAAAAATAAACAAAAGGAAACTGGATTTAGAGATAGTAAAAGTAATAAAAGTTATTGGCTCACAATCGACGAGCCAATTCGGATTATAGGATTAAGAATTACTACTCACAGGATAGGTAGCTTTTCAGACTAATTGAAAAGATCAGCTATGTTTAATATTCATCATTAAATTCAAGCCTACAGTGTTTTTACAAAAAAGATACATTTTTAAGAATATTCTATAATTTTTAAAAGAAATTCTGTAAATGATTCTAATTTAGGGGATTACAAATAAATTCTTTGAGAAAATTTCCTTTCTTATTTAAATATGATGAGTTATTCACCTATTTTGTCTTTGATAACTATCATACTTTATTGGCAATATAGATAAATATTAATTAGAATAGCAGATGGTAATTTTACTTATGTCATGGTGATAGCAGTTTCAGCTGTGAAACTGCTACAGGTTATTGTGGTGAGAAGGAATCATGATGGTGAGATCACAGTTGCCTTTAATAATGATTAGGATAATGTGAGTAATAATGGTCATAGTGGTGATGTTGAATCTTGTTTAAAAAAAAAAATAGTAGTAGAAATAAACTAATGAGAAATGTGATTTAAAATCTATTCATTTTTGAATATTCTCATCAAGCAAACAAAGAGTTTTGTAAACCAATTCTATTTCAGTAGAAACTGTTCTGTTACAGACATTAAAATTTTTCTTCAATGTCTGTCATGGCCAAATCAGTCTTTTAGAAGCACACTTTTTCTTTGTGTCTATGGTAATAGCTATCTTTCAGAAGAGACTTTTGCTTTATAGCAACATTGATAATCACTGCCATTTATCCCACCTCCTTAAGTAGATGTTGATGTAACTTTTTTTTTCTTCTAGACTAGAGATGACTTTTTCATAATATTGAATGAGTGAGACTACCTCAGCATCACCTTTGGGAAATGCCTGAAAGACTTGAGAGACATGACGAGTGTCAGCATAAGACTCAGGTTCAAATTTCACCATGGTTGATTTATCAATGAGGCAACTTGTTGATAATATTGAACGTGTTGTAGAGGCAAAAACAGGTAACCTGGAAGACAGAGCCTTGTTGTTGTTACTGTTGAGGAGGTTAATTCCTTCTCTGCCTTGACAAACATAAATCCAAGTATCAAACAAAAGAGGATATTGAGTAGTGGTAAATAAATATATTATTTATTTACATATATACAAAAACTAGTAACTTTTATCTGTTGCTAAGACAACAGGGAGAGAGTGATGAAATTAGAAGTGAAATGAACATTTAGTGGTGGTGTCTCTCTCTTAGCATGTCAGTGTTTACATCAAATGCTGATCTATGTCTCATCTCTCTCTCTCAGCATGTTGGTGTTGACAGCAAACACTGGTCTATGTTGGGTCTGTTTGAATTTGGGTATATATAGTTTTTAGTTGGCTCAAAATTAAGGTTTTGGTTTTTTGAGCAGTAATAGTTCTGACTGGTCATAATATATTATTAATTTTGTTTTGGTTATGAGTAGAGCCGACACACAGAAAATGTATTTATGCAGTCAGCTTTGGTTTGTTGAATTGTCAACATCTGGTTTGTGTAGAAAATGTAAGACAGTTATGGGCAAACTGGTCTGCAATTGCAAGTGGCCCATTTGACTTTCTGAATGGCACACCTAATTTCATGAGGAAAATAATGTTTATTAAAATTTTGTTTTGTACTCACTTGTTCACTGAGATTTTCTCATACATAAACACATACATCAACAATTATTGAGGTTAATGTTTCTTGAATTTTGCATTTTGAAAATGTTTTCATCATTTTAAACATTTAGTGATTTTCACTAAGGAAGATCATATAAATAAACATCTTTTGCATTAGAAATAGGAAACATTCATATATTTTTTCTCTGGAGAAAAAATATTTTTTATTTTTAAAAATTTTATTTTGCATTTTCAAATTAGTACATTAGAAAAAAATCCAATGTGGGAATGCATATTAATCACATTCTCATTAGTAATAATATTATATCAAGATATCAATTTTTTAACTCTAGAAAAAGAAATTTATCCAAAAACAAACTTTTCCTCATTTTTAAGGTAGATGTCTGCACATATGGTCTGCCGTAGTAAAAATGGTTGTGGCACCTTCAATAAAAATTACCTTAAATCTTTTTAGTAGTGTGGTCCAACTTATGATGAGCTATATCTCATGTAGCTCATTGCTTGAAAAAAAGGTTACCAATGCCTAGCCCGGGGAGATGATCTCAGCATGCAGCACTACTGAGAAGTACCTGAAAACCATACCATAATGAATAAAACTGCTCAGAAAGCATCAATGGTAATGTTAACACAATCACAGATCATCATGACTGAGTGTTCAAGACTACTGGCCATGTTCTACTACTGATCATGCCAGAACAGGAGCTCTCACCTGGAAACTGTAACTTCGGGCCACTCAACATTGCAATATAAATCAGGAATCTGCAATATGGATTAGCTAGCCACCCTAGTAGACTATATAGTCTCCTGAGATTGATATGTTTACCACCATTTAGACCAGTGTTTCTCAACCTTTTTACCCTTGTGGAACTTTTGATATAGTTTTCATGTCTCAGGAAACCTTCATAAAAATTATTATATGATCTATTTCTTTTTATTATATAATCCATTACTTTTATATCTTTATCATAGTTCATGTGGCAAACAATATTTGGGTGGAGGTAACTGGTTAAAGGAAAAAAAATGATCCCCTTTTTGTCAAATTTATTGGCAATGCAAAATAAAAGCATGTTGCTCATTTATGACATCTCAAGGTTTTTATTTACAAAAAAAAATCTGAAAACACGCATAAAAAAATAAGCATGAATGACCAATATCATTATAATTTGCTATAATAACCAAGGATTTTCCAACAATATACTGTATGTGTATAGTAAAATAAGGAGTATAAAATTGTTCAATTTTATATCACTCAAAAACACATTAGCCTATTTATCACTGTTTCTTGCAGAACCCCTAGCAACCTCTTGAGGAACTTTAGGGTTCCAGGGATCACCAGTTGAAAAACACTGACCTAAGCTATGTAAACTATTAATCTGTGATGATATGTAAAATTTTCAATGTAGCTCCAGAGAAAGCCATTAAAAAAATATTGGCAGTAGGGAGAAGCAGTTAATGTGATGCAAAAAAAGATTAAACAATCACAATTCAGATAAAGTAAATTATTTAAAAAAAAAAAAAAAATTACTTTTTGATTCTCCTAAAGAAAAGATTCAACTAGGAGTTCATCAGAATCTGTTCAGAAATGCCAGCCTGAAAGACCAAGTATCCCTTAACTCAAGAATACCAGCTTGTTGACACATTGTGATTACTTCTCTGATACCTTTATGGCATGTCAGCAACAAAAGATGAAACAACCCACAAATACCAGCAACATCAGTAAAAATAAGCTCTTTACAGCAAACCCAGTGATGAAACATCAAACTTCCCACTGACAACCACTATAGCAGCCAGAACTAAACTGTGAGTAGGAATATAACTATCTTTGTGTGAACTTCTCAAACTTTGACAAATCTTCTTTTCCATATACTCTAAAAACAAAAACAAACTTTTGTTGCAAACCATACACTTCAACTTTGTAGATTTTATTCTTCAAAACATAAATAAAAATCAATTCCCACAACAACATACAAGAATGTTGTTTTGAAGAGGTAATTGCTCTGTTGAATATTATAGCTACTTTTTCAAAGTTTATTTTATAAATTCAATTTTGACAAACTAACAAAACTCCATTTAGATATAAATCACTAAGATACAAAGAATTGTGTGCATCCAGAAGTCACTCAGCAAAAGACATTTCAGCTATTAGCACCATTATCTAATGGACGCTCTTCAAAACATACAACTTTTCACCTTGTCAACATTTATTTCTTTATCCTTTAATGTTTTTTCCATCTGTATGTTTTTCTTATTAATTCCATTTTAGAAGGACACTTATTGCATTGCCTTTTATGCATTGATTTGAGGTTTTACCTTTTCCTACCATAATAAAGCTGTTGGTCAACATATTGGTCTACAGAGACCAAACATGTTGAAAAATTATTTTACTCCTGAGTTTTCAACAAGAACTGAGGACAATGTAGAATACATTTTTTTTTACTCTTATGAAATCTTATAGGATCTATAGACATCAGGTCAAAAGGACATGATAATAACAACAATGATAAGGATATTAGTCTGAATGTAAATAACCAAGGTATATAATTAGTAATGCTGAGAGCCATTATTATTTATAAACTATAACTGTTGTTTTAATTGGTCTGAATATTCTCTCTGTTAAGTGTTAAGTTGTTCTCACCCTATGAAAAACCTCCAATTTCTGATTGTTCTAAATGATAACTTGCTTTCAAATGGATTCCCCCCAATCTGTCACAGTATGGAGTGGAACTCCAAGTCTTGTAATCCTTGCATTTATATAAGTTTTAGCTACTGATTATGTGGTAATTTCTGTTAA